ATCCCATCGTTCTACTGCTCCATCAGGGACCCTCTGTTGTGTTCCCTGTCAGGACGTTCATTGGTGGTAGCCAGGCACCACCTAGTTCTTCTGGTCTCAGGCTGATGAAGTCTCTGGTCTATGTGGCCCATTCTGTCTCTTGGGCCAATACTTTCCTTGTGTCTTTGGTGTTTTTCGTTCTCCTTTACTTCAAGTAGTTGAGACCAATTGATGCATCTTAGATGGCTGCTTGCAAGCTTTTAAGACCCCAGACGCCACTCACCAAAGTAGGATGCAGAACATTTCTTAGAAAATATTCTTAATCACCATAGTTATCAGGGAAGAGCAAATTAAAACCATAACCATCATTTTATATACAGAAGATTGGCAAAGAAACAATATCAAATACTTCCAAGAAAGTAGATTTAAGATTCTCCCAAATGGCTGGTGAGAGCGTGAATAAATTCTACCTCTTACAAAAAAGAAAAACAAAACCTCAGAAATAAATATCTTTGCCAAATAACAAATAATTATAAATGTTTGTGTTCTGAGTTTTCTGAGGTAAGATACGCAAACTGAAAATACTGCATCTGACTTTACAGTCCCAGAAAGAGAGCACACGAGAGCCTGAGCTCCAGCCAAACTACTCTCCTCGCACCCACATTTGCCAGAAATCTGTATTTGGGAAGACTCTGCTCAAGAGTCCGTCTATTCTAGCTCAGCTAGAGAAGATTCTTTCTTACATCTAATTATCTCATACACCCATCTAGTGGAAAGAAGCACAGTATCCTACTACAGTATGCTCTTCATTCTTGTGCTTCAGTTAACAAAAACAATCTAATTATTTACAGAACTACCACATTGTTTTGGGATCAAGTTTAAAATTACACCTTCCTGAGGGGGAAAGAGAGGGTGGGTTCTTAATCAAGCTAAAGAGATCCTTATATGCCTGTGAACTATGTCATGCATCCTAATAAATAATTAGTGCAGGGATTGACTAAAGAAGGAAGTAGCATGTTACAATGATATGTGATGCTCACTGGACTTCCTTGGGAAATGTTTATTATCCAGTTCTACATCAGCACAATATTTACACCACGGAATAGCAAGGGTGAGATTTTAGAATTTGAAATACAAACAGTAAAAGTCAAATAAAACCTGCTGCTTTCTAAAACATGAACACTGACTATGAAAATGTTACATATGATAAGTTATCATATTAACCAATGATAATATGAGCCATCTCTGTAATTTTTCTTGTTATTTATCTTGGCCATTCTTGGTAGGATTTAGATTCCGAGGAAAACTCTGTTTTCCCTACTCATCTCTCCACCCACCCAACATGTCTTTATTGTGCAAGTAAAATCAGGTTAAAAAATACACCAAAAGCAACAGCGATGAGGGAAAAAGATACAGCTAACGAAGTCATACTATGCTCTACCATCAGTTTCCTAAGTTGGGGAAACCTATGATTGATTAATTATAATTTTTAAATTATGAATATATTATAAGCCTCATCTGCATCCTCACTCCAATGTGGTGAATTTTGGTAACACAGAACTTGGCATGAATGTGACTCAAGAAAAGTGGGAGTGTTCTCTTAGCTAAAGCTGTCTTCCCTGGATCAGCCGGAATGACATCCTCTCCAGACTCCTTGTGCTGCAGTTCCATTTCTACAGTAGAAAGAGACAGCTACAAACCACTAAGCAAGAAAAAAACCTATAAATTCAGGGCCAGGTGCTAAGAGCTATCCATTCTGGAAATTTTTGCTGTTTACCATTTACCTCGTTTAAATTTTTTTTTTCCGTATATTTTTCTGGAGCTGTAGTCTATAGTGTTTTATATATGAACCCCCCATATTTAAATTGGAAGAATTTAATTTTAGAAATACCTTTTAAGAACTTTTAAAATAAATTCATTTGGAAGCTACCCAAAGAATTTATTAAAAGGAAAATCTTGCTGCGGAACTGGGGAAGGAAGCAATACTATTATTTTGGTAACCAAGAAAGGGTCTAAGAATGAGTGGAACATTTATTACATATTTAAATTTCAGCCTAAAGTAACCTCGATTCCATTCTTCTTAAGAAAATGAAGGACTTTTAAGAATTGCTCCTATACCAACCTAAAACAAAACAAAAACCAGGGAGGGCATGGGTGAGCACATCTAGTCCCTATGTACCAGGGACTATATTTGTAAAGTCTGGGCAATAACCTCTACTAAGATGACTCATAAATAACCTTTGATAATTACATAGATTTAAACAGTTTATGTTTACTTCATTTATTTGAGTCACACCAATTTGGTAGGAGTTTTTCGGGAGTATATAAATCAGTTCCCATATTTACTATAGTTTTCAAATCTCTAAATCTCCTAAACTGTTCTAAAGAGCAGTTCTTCCCAAACTCTCCATGGGATGTTAACAAAAGTTATGCTGGGGAGAGAAGGGGAAGTTTCAGAATCCAGTTAGTTCACAGTCTTTTTTACGAGCTTTTTTTAAAGATGCAAAGGTGGATTCTAAAAAACCCCTTGCCGTCTAGTTGATTCTGACCCATAGCGACCATCTATGACAGAGTAGAACTGCCCCATAGGGTTTCAATGAGCAGCTGGTGGATTCGAACTGCTGATTAGCAGCTAAACACTTAACCACCAAAGCGTGGGGCCCTACAGTATATAAAAAACCCACTGCTGTCGAGTAAATTCCAACTCATAGCAACCCCTTTAGGACAGAGTAGAACTGCCCCATAGGGTTTCCAAGGCTGTAAATCTTTATGGAAGCAGACTGTCACATCTTTCTCCTGCAGAGTGGCTGGTGGGTCAAAACACTGACCTTTTGGTTAGCAGCTGAGCACTTAACCACTGTGCCACAGGCGCATCACCTACAGTATATAGCTTTCTCAAAATACTATGACCGTACACATCTCATAGGACTGGAACACACTTTGAAAAACTTTCTAAAAGGCTATTTGTATAAAAAAGAGTTTAGCGTCATTAACACACTCACACATACATTAATATGTATAACAATCAAAACTGTATACTCAAAATTTTACATTACAACTTTACAGTTACTGAGTTAAATTTAAGAGAAAGAGTACCAAAACTTACCAAAAGCATTGTTGCAATAGAAAACTACACTTACACTTTCAAGCTAAAGGTGTTCAAGAAACTCCCTCTCATTCCCCTAAAAGAGAAGTGCTTTCCTGAATCACTATTTGTAAAAATCATTATTTTTCCAAGGCAAGAAGTAGCAAGTGGAGCACTCCGACATGCTGCCAGCATTCACAGTGATTTAAAGGCATGGACACGGCACTGCTACAAACCATAATTTCAAAGGGTTAGAAGCTGCCGTTTTATAACAAGGACTTACATATATGGACTTAAGCATGGGCCTCTGTTATAGAATTCAACACAAGCATTAATCCATTTATGGCTGGGAATTTTTAGTTTTAGCCAGCTGTAAGCCAACCAGAAATTCTGAGAACAGATAGATGTTATATTCAAGTAATACCTTTCTGTTTTATTGGAAGTATTTAATAAAGTTAAGACAAAAGAATAATTCTATTACTTATATGATAATTGTTTTGTGGTCCCAATGATACTACTGTACCTTCAGTATGAAATAATTAGTGATAAACTCCTTGAGTCTTGGGTTTGTGTCTTCATTTCATAAATATTTGCTATCCCGAAATATTACTTAGAAGCATACCCAGCAGAAAGTAGTTCTGATTTGGTAGGCATTGGGCATCCTCAACCTTTTTCTCCCTCTGGTCTTGTAATCTGGTCTTGTTAGGTGTGTCCCAACAGTTGTAAGAAGTTAAAAATGAATTCTTAGACTTATGAAAATTTAGAGTGAAACTTGTAGCTTAGCTAGTCAGACCTCATTTTATGGATCAAAGAACTAAAACTCAAGGAAGTTAAAATGACCTGTTTGAGTCTATATTATAAGTTCACAAAGATGTTTATGTGACAAAAAGCAACACACTTTAGAGAAGCTAGCCTGGTGCCGTTCAGTCTACACTGGTCATGAGAGTGTAAACGTGGGTTCTAATTTCTGCTCTGCTATGTAGAAAGGTGCTGATAAAGAAGATTTTGGCTGGCAATTTGGTTTTAGGTCCAAATTCCAGCTTTGCCATCTATAAGTCAAGACTTTGGTAAGTTATTTAACTTTCCTAAATCTTTGGTTTTTCATATGCAAAATGGGAATACTGCCACCTATCTCAAAGGGTACCGCGAAGAGTACATACAAGCAGGTTACATAAAGTGCTCCAACAGGTCATTTTAACTTCCTTGGAGTTTAGCTCTTTGATCCGTAAAATGAGGTCTGTCGAGGTAAGTCACAAGTTCCACTCTAAACTTTGATAAGTCTAAGACTTCATTTTTAACTTCTTACAACTGTTGGGACACACCTAACAGGCAGTCATGGCTGCTGGGTCTCTTCCATTTGCCTCTCCATATCCATCCTCCACCCTTTAGTACTGTGCTCTCCCCCCAAGAGGCTGACCCTTTGGGACTGTACTAGTGGGCTCCCTTGTCCCTGGCAATGGGAGGCACCAGTGGGAGACTGGAGAGAGGAGAGTGAGGACTATTTATACCCTGGCTTTCTCCCTGCTAGGTCACCTCCCTAACAATCTCCTTTCAGGCTGCCCTCTCAGAACAGTGATCTCTCCTGTTCCAAGAAACCCTCTCTCTGTCTCTTCAAGTCCAGGGACGCTAACCCCCATCCCACTTCCCACTGGCCCTAGCCCTGGGGTACTACACCATCTCTTTATGCTTTTCCTAAACGTTACTCATGTCTTTGTAAATAATCCCTTCATTACACTCCCCTCAAATCACCTGTTTTGCCTGTGCCCACCACCACCACCACCACCACCACCATGGATTGATGTTGTTGTTGGCTGCTGTTGAGTTGATTCCGACTCATGACGACCCCATGTGTTACAGAGTAGGGCCTTTATAGGCAAAAGAAACATGCAATAAAACAGACATTTCGGAGAGCGCGATGTATCAAGGTATGTGGGAGATGAGGCTGGAAAAGCAGCGGAGGCCAGATGTTGAAGTTTAACATAACAGGCCAAAGACTTTATCTAAAAGGATCAAGTCCAGTGGGAAAGCACAGAAGGTTCTTAAGCTTTTGGGAAGTATGTAATGGTATCTGTTTTATGAAGACCATTCTTTGGCTGTATGGAAGGATGGATTGGTAAAGAGGTAGAGAATATTCAGCTCTGATTTTCCCCATGTGCCCCCTGTAGTCCTAAGTGTCCTAGAAGTCAAGGTCCTCTTGAAGATGGAGGGAGAGGCTAAGTGGGCAGAGTTATGAGACCCCATACCCACATTAATCACAGCAGTTCTGTGCCCTAGACCAGACCTGGAATCTCTATTGCACTTAGGACAACCAGTCTAGAATATTTTACTTCAAAGACTGCACTGAATGATGACTACATCTTAAGGTCAAAGACCTCTGCCTCAAGCCTTCCAGTTATGGTGAAAAAAGTCAGAGAATTATCAAGAATTTGAACTAAGAGAGAAATGTGTCTGAACTCATGCCAGGAAGAAGAAAAAACTATTAAGAAATACTATCTGGATGGACTGAGTAAACCAAGCCATGTACAAAGCCCTAGTCTTTTATGGTTCTTAATAGAGCTTAAGATTATATATTTGAGCAAATAAATAAGTCAGAGGAATAAACAAGTCTGTGTGGTAAAACTAAAAAAAGAAAAAAAAAGTGATTTTCATGCCACAAAGATATTGTCTTGACTGAAATATTCTTATCTGAAAATATGATATAATTGTGATCTGCAATAGAAAAATAATAGAGATAAAATTTTAAAATTACTATAAATTAACCTCTGTTTTAGAGAGAAGATGATAGCGCTTACTAATGAGCTTTAAAAATCTCCATTAGCAGTTTTTGGCAACTGTGTATCTGAACTAAAAAGGATTTTATCCAAGGATTATAAAGTAAAAACTACGCCCAGTAGAGGGCAGTGGAACCCTCCACAAAGCAGACAAGGAGGGCCATGAATGAAGAGCCAAATACTATAATCCACGAAAACTATTTTGTCTTTGGTGACATTATCCTTCTAAAACATGACAGACATATTGCCTAACTGCTATGTCCCTTGAAAACGGAGCACAAGAAAGAGCTATTAAAGTCTTGCAATTAAAAAAAAATTCCTGGAAAATTTGAGCACCCTAAAAATAAACATTAAAGTACATCATCATCATTTCTGGGAGGGATGAGGTTTCTGTTGCCTTCACTATTTAAAACAACTGTCTTAGTTTCTTAAAACCTATTAAATAAACTAGCTTTTCAAAGAGCCTAATATCCCAAGTTCTATTTGTTTACATTTTCCTTTAACTTATACTATATACAGCCATAATGAAATTTTTAATTTTAGAGTTTCCTATGGAAATCTGAAGTATAGAAGTGGTCTGCAAATGACATTCATTTTAACAATGCAACTGCCATCATAATATTGTATAGCTGATCATCAATCTTTTTTTTTTTCTTCTATCAATAATATGCTGATTATAACTGAGCAAACTTACAAATTATGATTACGGTTTTGACAGTGATTAAGAACATTTATCTTCTTCATAATAAAAGGTTTCAAATACTGATTTTAAATTTATATCATACACAAAATTACTTAAAAAAACATGCAAATAGAATTTATGCAAAATTCAAATTTTTGATCCATTAACACTAGTCCTCCATATACATGCACTTGATTGAAAACAAGAGACTGACAATGAATTATTACCATTATTATTATTATTGTTACTGTTATTTTAATTCTGGTGTTTCAAAGTTTTTCAGTAGTAAATTCAGTTGAAAATTCCGAACAGACCTAAATTCCACTTCATATAAACGGTCCTGGAAGGTTATCATAAATTTTTTTGCCACTCAAAAAAGAGACATATTCAATATTCTAGACCCACAGGAAACCTGAAGGACAGCAAATAAATCAGACTATTCTAAACATAGTTATTATGGTCCAATCAGCTCAGTCAAACTTAATGACAGGAAGACAGAATACCTTTATTTTTTATTCATTTCTTATAGAAGAATAGAAAAACTTGGCAAGTATGCTGGAGAACTTGCAAGAAATCTCCACTGTCTGAGGAAGCACTGCCAAACCGTGTAAGTTATTAACGTGGTTGTAGTTTTCAAAACATTACCTCCAGAAATGCAATTCGAATCCTTCACATTTTTCTTTGCATTTTAAACAGGGGGCTCCAAATCCTTGCTCATGACCTAAGCCCATCTGTTAAAGAGAAAACATGTGGATCTATTATTAAATTTTCAAAAACCAAAAAAATTCAATAATTTACACTTTTAATTCCGCATATCACTCCTGTTGATATAACTTTAAAACAAATCTTTTATGAGGATCACATTGTTTAATCAATGGTAACACTTAGGTATGCATATGGTGACTCCAAGAACATACACAAGATACTTTGTTCTTATTTCTTTGATTATTACGAAAAGGAAAGTGTCAGAATATCACTGCATGCTGTTCAAGTTGATTCTGACTCAGTGACCCCATGTGACAGAGTAGAACTGCCCTATAGGGTTTTCTTGGCTGTAATCTGTATGGAAGTAGACTGCCAGGTCTTTCTCCCACAGAGCTGCTGAGTGGGCTCAAACTGCCAACCTTTAGGTTAGCAGCTGAGCTCTTAGAAGACTACAAATACTCCAAGTCACAAGTCATGTGCTTGTCTTTGGCCACTACATGCCCTGGATACAGTAAGTACAGGGAGCACGAAGAAAGCCAGAATTTAGGAAGCAAGCCTGACCCCAAAGGACACATGTTGCACTAAACAAATATGTGGAAAATTTTAGGATTTACAATGAAAATATTACATTCTATAATGATAAATACAAAAATAATAGTGATAGCAAATGCCAGGCACAGAGTTAAGCACTTTATTTATATTATCTCATTGAAATCTTACAAGACCTCGTAAACTACCTATAGTGGACAATGTTATTCCTCATTTTAGAGATGACTTAGCTGAAACTAAGAGATTAAGGAATTTGCTTAAGCCCAAGGTGTTAATAAATGGTAGAGAAGAGAACTGAGTCTAGGTCTGTCTGACTCAAGGCCCAGGCACTCTACTGTGGCCGTTGTTACAGTAAACCTTTTTTTTTTCCTTTACCATATTAAATAAAATTCTTTGGGAACTTGCTGAGACACGACCTCAGAGGTAGAAGGGGAGATTGTAGACGGGATGGACGCAAAACAGCAATGTAAACTCTTTTACCCAACTACTGATAACAGAGTAAAACAGATCAACCGGCTTTGCATCAGCACACCTGCAATCACCAGTGACTGGATTAGTCTGTATTTTAGAGATCATATCAGTAGCTGCTCACAAATGAGTTACTGACTAGAGCCTGGAGCAGTAGTTCACGCCACACAAATAAGAAATCTTTTTCAACGGAACCTTTTCCCTTCTCGTAGCTTCACCAACGGAACCTTTTTGTAGCTTCACCAAGTTGTCTGCCACTATGCAGTCAAAACCACATTGTACCTTTTTCCTTGAAAGATCGGCCTGACATAGCCCGAAGTTTAAATGAAGCCCTTCCTTTTTTCTGAAGAAAATTACCACATCCGCTTACGATCACTTGGGGCACATTCAAAATGAGCCAGTCCCCCAGGCTGCTTAGAAAAACCCACGTTATTTTTAAGTCAAACTATCTCAAGCACACCCTCTGAAAGTGGTGAACATCTGCCCAGCATTAACTACAGTTCACCACCTTTACCAAATCCACATTACCGATTTTCAAAAGAATTAAAATATCCTAAGTTATATTGTCAACTCTAGGCTAAATTTTTTTAAAGGAATCAAGTTGTTTGCTTGTTACTGATGATCACAGTTCAAAGTGCAGACCTAAAGTGCGTTTAGTATGAGGGAGGTGGGGAAGGACTGGTTGAGTTTTCTGGTCTTTTGTAAGGAATGTAATTGTTTTCTCCATTATAATATCCATAGTAAGAGCAAGTCTAGAGGGATGCATTATTTTCAAGTTCTTTCTAATTTTCCAGTAGAAGAGTGTTTGTTAATAACAGAGAATCAGCTTGGTGTATTGCTTTGTACTGTGATCCATGCACCTCCTGATAAACTCTGATCCCAAATAAAAATATGTTGTTAAGGTTTTATCACATAACGAAGTTAAATCGGCAGCTTTTAAATTCTCTTGTATGTAATTCACAGTAAGACATACATTTTAGGTCACACATGGGGGAAGACAGCATGTGAGGATACGTCTACAAGACAAGGAACACCAAGGAGTGCAGGCAGCCACCAGAAACTAATAGAGAGCCTGAGAAGGAATTGACACGGCCAGTACCCAGAATTTGGGCTCCCAGCCTCCAGAACTGGGAGAAAATAAATTTCTGTTCCTTGAAGCCAAAAAAATGAATACATTTTATCTCATGACCCAGAATATGCATAGACACATATAAACTTATGCGTGTAAGTGTGTGTAAAACCCTGCAACAAAGACTTACTGGCTGAGATCATACCTAAAAGTAAGTATGCTTCTGCCTCTAAATTGAATGGGCACTGCCACTTAAAGACAATTCTTGCCTTTCACATCTGAATCTCCTGGTCTGAGCAACACAGGGCTTACTTAATAAAATGCTACAAACATACTGAACAGTACCATCTCATTCTTCTCTCTTTTTGAACACAATTTGGAAGCTCATCTAATATGACTAGAACTTCGATTAGTCAGCAGAGTTTTTACACTAAGGCATCAGTATAGCTCACTGCTGATTTACAAAGTGAACCTTGGAAAGGGACACATTTTTTCTCTTATCTACTTTTTATTTTCTTAAAATAGTCATCAGTTTATTTATCACAATTTTACTGGTGCTGATGGTATTTCACTGAACATTGGCTCCTTTAAGGGGCACCATATATTCTTAGGACTGGGCAGTACTAGGGATCCCCTTCACGTAAAAGAGTAAGGAACTAAAATCCAGAGAGATGAGATGATTTGCTTCTAGTCACACAGCTAGTCAACCGCAAAGGGAGACCTAAGCCTTGTCTGGCTCCTGCTCCACTGTTCTGCTGGAGCTGACCACTACAGAGTGTCAAACGGGAGCCCTTCAGTCTTCCAAAGACAGATTCTCTGGCCCATTGTTAGTTTAAGGACTTGAGAAATCCAAAACCACTCCTGCAACTCCTCTAAATATAGATGATTTTCTAACAGTTTTATAAAAGGAGAATTTGAACTACTTAAAAGGGTTGGGGAAAGCTTTTTGTGAGTAAGAGATGCTTGAACTGAAATTCAAAGGATGAGCAGCATCTTACTCAGCAAAGACGAGAAGGCAGTACATTCAACGCATAGGGAACAACACATACTAAGATCCAGTGACAGAAGAGGGAATGTTAAGAGCCATGAACATCTTCAAGCAGTTGAAGGGGGATGGGGCCGGCCCTGTGGCAGGCAGAGTATGTTTTTTTATTTTTTCCTTCCTTTTTGCAAAGAAGAAAGTCAGTCCACTGAAGCACTCAGCACCGTGCCATGGCTACCAGGTTTAACAGACCCGCGGGCCACGGAAGGGAGGGCGGGGACAAGAGCATCTGCTCTCACACTCTGCCAGTCAAACCTCAGAGGTGGACCCTCAGGAAGACCAGAAGGCCCGACTTTGGGAAAAGGAGTAATTTGAGAAAACAGGTCTGTAGCCTGCCTGAAAACTCAGGAAGCATTGCTCTAGTGTCCCTCCACCCTCACTAGTTTGCCTGGAAGGTTAACTTCACCTCCATTTAGGCTCTTTCCAGCATGGTCTGTGACTGCATGGAGAAAGTGTCCCTCTCCACCTTTCCAAATATACACACTTTCATCTTTCCCACACACTGAGCCATAACCAGTGAGTGGACTTTGAAAATATCAGACAGAAAACAAGTAAACGAGAGAGAGTTGAATGAGATTGCAGCCATATGAAACACTCTCTCCTGCTATAACTAGTTTTAACTAAAAACAAACAAAATAAACCCACCAAGTTTTCAAAAGCATTATTAAATAACAGCTAAAATGATTATAGCTAGAGAGAGGTTTAGACTGGCAATGAATTAATTTTCCTATGGGGATTTCAGCAAGAAATTATTTTATAGCTACAAGTGTATAGCTATAGCACTTAAACCTCACTGACATCAGCACTGAAGATCTCTAACTTATGACACATTATTGGGTGGGAACTTCTTCCATATTCTTATCTCCTTTATCAACTTCTGTTATGATTAAAACACACACACACACACACACATAATGCTACTCCAACAAAGATGTGGGGTTCATACCCTAGTGGTTTCCCTCCTCAGATAGATGTGGCTAGTTTCATAACGAATTATAATCTACAGTACAGTTGTGTTTTTTAATCCTATTAAATCCAGTGTATATTCTACAACTGTACTGTAGCAGACCTACCTTTACTGGTATTAGGCAACTTACTTCTGCTTCTGTTCCCACCCCAATATAGCTGTCTAGTCATCTGCTATTCTTCCTCTTTACAAACCAAGCATGTATCAGATGAAGAAAAATGGTACTCTTTCTACACTGTAGTAAAATGAGTTTCAGAGTCAGAACTGCCCCAGGCAGAATTTCTCAAGTTCTATTTCCAGGGCTTCTCGGGCAGAGTGTCATGGGTCCTGGGTTCCCCAGCTCTTCCTAGTCTCAGCTTGAGGATCTGGAACCCTACTTGCCCTAAGGACTCCCCTCCTTCACTGTGTGTTCAGGATTCCTAGCGGTCCAGGATCCAGAATTCTGTTCACCACACCTCCTCCCTTCTCTTTGCCCTCAGCACACAACCACACCCTCTAGGCAGGGACCTTCTCCTTTCCTAGAGAGCCATGACTATTACGCTTGGATATCTCCAAGCATGTATGTTAGTTTCTGTCTGAGTGTCTGGGCACCAGAAATTCTTGGTGAGGGTAAGAACAGGCAAAGTGTCATTTAACCATACCCAGGGTGTGCGCTGAGGTGTGTGCGAGAGGGGTGTGGAGAGAAAGTGGAGCCCGGAAAGTTTCCGCTCCTTGGCTAAGTGAGGCAACTGGCTGTTTAGAAAGTGAGATCCGGATACTAAGACTAAACGCAGTGATGTGTGCTTATATGTAATACCTACATCCTGAGCATTAATTATACAAGGTATGAAGGGAAATATGATCAAGAATTACACTGGTTATGGATACCAAGAACTAATAAAACAGAGAAACTGAAAATGTAGAAAGTTCACTGAAGGAGAGTCAGGTAAAT